ATCCGAATCCAGACCTGGGGTCCCGTGTTGGAGCTACATCCCACATCCAGATCTGGAGCCGTGGTTCCATGTCTGAGCTGTGGTCCCATGTCCAAATCCAGAGTCAGGGTCCTGTGTCCAAACCGTAGTCCTGCATCCGAACCCAGAGTTGGGGTCCCCTGTCTGAGCTGTGGTCGTGCATCTGAATCCACAGCTGGGGTCCCATGCCTGAGACGTCCCACATCCAAATCCGGATGTCCCATGTGGGGTCCCATGTCATAGTCCCACATCTGAACCTAGAGCCGGGGTCCCACATCTGAGCCATGGTCCCACATCCGAACGCAGAACCGGGGTCTCACACCTGAGCTGTGGTCCCACATCTGAACCCAGAGCTGGGGTCCCATATCTAAGACATGGTCCCACACCTGAGCCATGGTCCCACATCTGAACCCAGAGCCGGGGTCCCACATCTGAACCTAGAGCCGGGGTCCCACATCTGAGCCATGGTCCCACATCCGAACGCAGAACCGGGGTCTCACACCTGAGCTGTGGTCCCACATCTGAATCTAGAGCTGGGGTCCCACACCTGAGCTGTGGTCCCACATCTGAACCCAGAGCTGGGGTCCCATATCTAAGACATGGTCCCACACCTGAGCCATGGTCCCACATCTGAACCCAGAGCCGGGGTCCCGTATATAAGACATGGTCCCACATCTGAGCTCGGGTCCCACATCTGAACCCAGAGCCGGGGTCCCACATCTGAGTTGGGGTCCCACATCTGAGCCTGCCAGCTCAGGGAGAGGCTCTGGGTGATGCTGGGAGAAGCCACCTCCATCTGGGACCCGTTCACCCACAGGTGGGGATCCCCACACCACCCCGGAGCTGGTGGGTGCTCTCCCTGGTGGGGGGTGAGCCGGGACCTCAGGTGTCCCCCCGGGATGGGAGGGCTGAGCTGGTGTCCCCTGAGGGGGGTAACGCGGTGTCCCCTGCCAGGTGCGGGCCAGCGCCATCGCGCAGGACGCCGACCAGAACTACGACTACGCCAGCAACAGCGTCATCCTGCACCTGGACGCAGGGGACGAGGTCTTCATCAAGCTGGACGGGGGCAAGGCCCACGGCGGCAACAACAACAAGTACAGCACCTTCTCCGGCTTCATCATCTACTCGGACTGAGCCTGGACCCACGGCGTCGCCCCACCGCCCTCCAGCCCCACGGCATCTCCCCACAGCATCCTGTAATGACCATTGAGCCCCACGGCATCCCTCTGCTGCCGTCCAGCCCCATGGCGTCTCCCCACAGCATTCCCCAATGACTGCCCAGCCCCACGGCATCTCCCTGCTGCTGTCCAGCCCCACGGCGTCTCCCCACAGTGTCCCCCACTGACCATCCAGCCCCACGGCATCCCCCTGCTGCCGTCCAGCCCCATGGTGTCTCCCCATGGCATCCCCCACTGATCATCCAGCCCCATGGCATCCTTCTGCCATGGTTTGGCCCCACAGCATCCCCCACAGCCACCCGGCCCCACGGTGTCTCCCCATAGTATCTCCCAATGACCACGCAGCCCCAAGACATCCCCCTGTAGCTGACCAGCCCCACGGCTTCTCCCCACAGAATTCTCCAATGACTGCCCAGCCCCACAGCATCCCTCTGCTGTGGTTCAGCTTCCTGCTGCCGTCCAGCCCCACAGAGTGCCCCAAGGACCATCCAGCCCCACAGCATCCCCCTGGTGCCATCCAGCCCCATGGCATCCCCCAAGGACCATCCAGCCCCACGGCATCCCCACGCTGCTCTCCAGCCTTATACCTTTCCCTTCTACTGTCCAGCCCCACAGCATCCCTCTGCCACAGTCCAGCCCCACGGCATCCCCCCAGCAGTGGTCCAGCCCATCTATGGGGCTCCAAACCCCCCCTCTTTTCCCATTTGCTTACCCTACAGCTGCTAATTTGGGGCTGGGGGGGCGGCAGGGGGCCCCACTGCACTCCCATCCCCTGGCTGCTCCCCCTGCTTGGCCCCACGGCCCCCCCGCTGCCTCCCCACGCCCGGGGCGATGCCGGGGGTCCCCGCAGTGTGTATATATGTACAGGACGCGCAGATGTCTCTATACGGGTGCCCCCCAACCTGCTCCATCCCGGGGGGCTGCGCTGGGGGGGGTGGGGGGGGAGCCGCCCTTGCTGCCCGACCCCGGGGCGACTCCATGGTAAAGCAGAGCTGTGACCTCTCCCCGTCTGCTGTCTGTGTCCCCGCGTGGGGCAGAGCCAGTGTCCCCCACCCCCGGGGACAGCCCCACAGGGTCCTCCTGCCACCACCACCCCCCAAATCGACCCCTCTTGCCTTACCAAACTGAGGGGGTGCCACAAGGGGCTCCTGTCCCCAAGCGCTGGTGTCACCTCTGCCAACTGCAGTGGGGACCCTGGGGGTGCCACCACCGCCATGTCCCTGTCCCCAGCGCCCCGGTAGTCCCACGGGGAGATGTCCCTTCAGGGACACGGTGGCCCCGCGACAAGACGGGGAGATATGGAGGCCAGGCAGAGCCGTGGCGACCCTCTGGCATGTGTGCCCATCACCACTGCCTCAGCACAGACAGGACGTGGCCCAATTAGAGGTGACAGCGGGTGCCCGGGGCCACCGGCCACCTCCTGAGCGGCTGTGGCGGGGTCAGAGGATGGGAGCCATGGGGGACATGAGGGCAGCCCTGGGGACAGGGCACAGGGGTGGGCATTTATCCCCACACCCCAGCAAGTCCCCGGTGCTCGTTTCTCAGTGCTAATTAACGGGTAATGAGGCGGCAGCGGGGCAGTGGGTGCTCGTTAGGGCCGGGGCGGTCAGCCATGAGCTGTGAGGAGAAAGCCGCCATTAAGGCCTGGCATGGCTGCAGCCACCCACTCCGGTTGGCACTAAGGGGGACCCTGGGTGGGCCCCTCAGCCTCCCCACCGGGCCCTGCCTGGCCTCTCTCCGCCAGACAGCGCTCGGGACGCCGGTTTCCCTGCCCTCAGGGGGGCCGCCCCGGCCCGGTGCCCACGGGAGGGGATGGGGCAGGGGGGGGAAAGATGGCAGCCAGCCCGGGGCACGGCGGGACTACATCTCCCGTGAGGCACCGCGCGGAGCGGGCGGGGCACGCGGAGCGGGGGAACCAATGGGAGCGGGCGGCTTGGCGAGCGGCCAATCAGGAAGGGGGGCGTGGTCTGGCGGACGGTTTGAAAGCGGTTGGAGCGACGGGTGAGCGGCGTCGGGGGCGGTGGGGAAATGTTGATATAAGGGGGAGAAAAATAGGGTCCTGGGGAGGGATGCGGGGTCTCGGAGGGG